TGCTGCCGCTTACCCTGGCCGCCACCACCAGCGCCCTTTTCCCGACGGGACACATCACTACAACCCACTCCTGCTCCAGATCCAAGGGGACGTCGACCAGCCACTCAGATAGCATCAGCTATGGAGAAATCCAGAAAGAAAAAAACAGTAACAACCCTCCCGAAGTTATGGAAAACTCACAGCTCGAGGATAAAGCAAGCAGGTTTCCGCTTGGCTTACACAGCTGGGTGCTTCAGCGGCAACCCACACTGCCCCTCACCCCACGTCTCAGCGCCAAAGGGGCGCCGCTCCCTCCAACCAACCCGCACACCAGAATCCTGCTCCGGGTTCTCCTCTTGCTGCCCAGCTGCTGACCACGGCATGGGGCTCACAGTCCTCGCTCGGGCACCCCCACACCTTGCTCCCCACTCCGGCGCTCTTAGTTCACTTATTTATAAACTCACGGCAGAGCTCAAAGATTCCTAAGCACCAGGAGTAAAGAGCCCAGAGGAGCCGACCGTCTGGCTGCGATCCCCTGAGGGGCTGCCTGTCTTTCAGGACCCACATGGCAGCCAAGGCTGACAGAACCCATCAGCTGCTGTTCCCCTTCTTTCCAAGCGGCCCATACAGGTTTCCTTTCCTTCCCAGCGTCCCAGACATGCAGAGAGACAGAAATCCTAGTAGGGTGCTGCACAACGGGACACAAACACTGCCAGTGGAGCTGAAATCCTGCCCCATGCAGGTTTCCCTTCCTTCCCAGCGTCCCAGACACTGGGAGAGACGGAAATCTTAGTAGGGTGCTACACAACGGGACACAGACGCTGCCAGCAGAGCTGAAATCCTGCCCCAGTCAGGTTTCCCTTCCATCCCAGCGTCCCAAACACGTGGAGAGACAGAAATCTTAGTAGGGCGCTGCACAAGGGGACACAGACGCTGCCAGCGGAGCCGAAGCCCCCCCGGTTACGCAGGCACCCCACCTTCTCCACTTGACCGCAGCGGGTCTCGGGGTCGGAGCCGAGGCACGGTCCCTCCGGGAGCGCCAAGCCGGGCAGGATGCGTCGCCCCCGGCGCCTCGCCCCCCTCACCTGGTTGGCATAGCGCTTGGGCAGCTTCCTGCCGGCATCCACGTCCATCTCCTCTTCCTCCCCACCTTCCTCCTCCTCGCCCTCGCTCTCCAGCCCTCCCCAGTCGTCC